ATGGAGACACTGTGCTTTTTGGGTTCCAAGCGGACGACTATGAGCCCACGGAGTCGGAACATGCATCGGGCCCATCCAGCTCTTCGCCTACCTCGGCCTGTGACGACAGCTCGACCCGCTTGCCCTACAGCTCCGATGTTGAATGTGGGCCCGGTTCTAGGCCCTCCGTCTCCCCCGTGGATTTGGCACATGATGGTGTCGCGTCTGTCGAAGCCATCGGCCTTACGCCGACCTTTTCATCTTGCCGTCCCTACCAGCCACAGGCTCTGCGACGGGGCCCTGCGCAAGGCCGTCCACATGCGACAGGCCACGGTGACGCGGACGGTCCCTCCCCGGATAGTCCTGCGGATAGGGATAATGATAGGGACACCTCCCCTGTGCCCTCCGACCCGGTGCCTACCTCTGAAGATGCTGAAAGCAGTGAAGGGCACTTCCCAGCCACCTTCCTGATCCTTGCAGTAGACTGTGTGCCGGAACAGGTTGAATTGCAGTTAGGTCTTGGAAGCACCGTGCCGCAGGTCCTTGACGCCTTGACCGATGCTAGGGACCACGAGTGCTACCTGCGTTTTCCCAACCTTTCGGCCGTCTCTCCACAGCCTTCCCGAGAGTGGGGCGCTGTCCTTGCCTTGCCGCCATGGGCGGAGAGGGAGTGCATTGCCTGCTGTGATTGCAGAGGCCTTGACCAGAGGCTCTTTGCCATGGATGTTCCACGGCATGCCACGAAGGCACAGCTTTGTCACCTCGCCAGCGTAGCCGATGTGACGGGTACTGCTCTATATGCGTATGGCAGCAGTACTGCGATGACTGACGAGGAAGAGGTTGAGCACCGTCCATCTGGGCTGTTGCTATTCTTGCCCGTGGGTACGCCGTGTGGCAGGCTCCTGCGTATGGAACAGGCATTACTCTCCCCGCATACCTGGTCACTCGACCCAGTGCTCCCTCTTGGGCCTGACGGCCTACGCTACTGCTGTGTATGTGACCGTGGTCACAGACTGCTCACGGTTTCTGATAATGCGGAGCCGACTATCTGTGCCGCTGCTGCCCGGGCCACATGGCTGGATGCAGACGTCTTCCACCTACAACAGCCGAATCCCCGTCTTGCCAATGTGGCCGTGCTGGGCTTCCATTGCCAGGATGTGCGACTTCTCCACGTATGGACAGCTGGAGAAACACAACAGAATACTGCAGTTGCTCTCGTTGATTGCCGGCCTATGCTGCAGGGGTGGTCAGTTGCTGTGGCCCATGATGGGCGCCTCTCCTACGAGGAGCTGATGGACGAACTGGAGGTCTTTGCCCCACCAGGTTGGCAGGTGCAACTTGATGGTGCTGCAATTGAGCCGCCCTGGATCTTTGTAGTGCCTGGGCAGGTCATTCAGGCTTCTTTCGCTCCGCTTACCACTGAGGATGAGGCAGTTGACGGGCCTATCACGGCTGACAGCATTCCTGCCCATCGCTTGCCAGACTCCCCCACTGAGAACCTCTCGAGTTGTCGGCGTTCTGGTTCTCGGAGCCGTTCCCCGGTCTCTCGCCCCCGTGGGGACGGCCCAGTTCCCCACAACGCGGGCTCCTCTGTGCAGCTTTCCCTGCAGCTCTCCGGCCTTGTCTTCGCGGGGGCTGTTGCTCCGGCGCAAGCAGTTGGGCAGGGTTTTGCTACGTCTGCGATAGGGTTTATGTGCACCCCTGCCTGTTTTGGTGCGCTTGTCGGTTTTGGCCTAGCGCTCTGGCTGTGCTTGCTGCTTTGTGCAAGCGTCGCTAGGAGGTTGGTTGAGCGAGTGCTGATGTACGTGGATGTGCCCCGTCGGCTTCCTCTTAGTGCTTCTCACACCTCTCCGGCACAGATGTTTGCATCGCTGAGCCGTCTGTGGAGGGTCGAGCCATCCAAGTATTTGGCCGTCTCTGAAGGCAGGCAGCATCGCCTCTCAGTAGAGCCGCCAGTTTCCTCCCCGCAAGAACAAGCACATTTTGATGACATGCGATTCCTTGCCGGAGAGATGAACATGCCTTGGCCTCGCCTCCGTGCTTTCGATGTCGAGGATTGGCCAGATGAGAATCTTGCTTTGGACACTGCAGCGGCTGCAGACGTCCTTACTGACATGCCCTTCGCTGTGCTCGTCCCAGATTTCCAGCCAGAGCGGGTTACCATCAGTGGGCGCCTTCCATTAGATGTAGATAGCATGCGCACTTTGGTTCAATCACAACGTGACCCCTTGCAGGCAACCAGGTTTCCACACCTCATTGCTGCCGTGCCACAGCCGTGGCCCACATGGGGCCTTCTGATTGCAGCCCCTGCCTGGGCTCCGATGATGCCTTTGGTTGTGTTTGACCTTTTAGCCGTGGACGGCCGCATCTTCGTGACGACGGTCCCCATGCAGGCGCCTTGTTATTTTCTAAAGCAACTTGCGAGGCTGCCACCAGGTCTGGATGTACACATGGTTGCTGGATTTGCCGCCGCCCCTGTGCCGGATGCCACAGAGCTGACTTTGATACAAGGCCAATGCCTCACTTTTGTACCGGCCCACCTTCTTCCTGGACCAGTTAGCACTATCGATGTCATGCTGCTCTCCAATCGCTCATGGGGACGTGGTCCGGCCTATCCAGATGCTGGGCAAACAGATGCCAGTTACTGCCTAGCCACAGAGGGTAACCATGCCCTTTATGTCATGGACCTGGCTCGCCCCTGGGCATTTCGTGCAGGGATCGCTGCAGAGTCTCGCATTCCACCTGCCGAGTGCCTCCCTGGAGCCTCCTTTGTTACACTTATTTCTGTACGGGGTTTTGGGCTTGTACGAACCTGGGGTCTCTTGTCTACATGTAGACCAAATGCGCACGAATACACAAGAAAGTGCACGGAAGTGCCCTGGTATAAACACAAAGCGCACGACCGGCATGCATGCACACACACACACTGATCTTTGCCGCGGTCTTCGAACGATGCAAGCTTCTCAGCTGCAGCTCATGAATACAGAGCGCATTCGCCCATACTGTAGCAAAGCCATCGACAGCGTGCGATGGGGTGTCGTACGGCTATGAGTTCGGCGGCTTAAGCGGCAGCATCGTCCCACAAAATCTTCGTCAGACCAACAGGCAGCGCCTCAGATATTGTATGCAGACCTCGCTGCACAGCCCATGCATATATATATATATATATATATATATGATAATACACACAGACAAGAGGCTCAGTGGATTGAAAATCCACTCCGCCCCCCGGTCCACCTGGTGCTTCATGTTTAACCTGGGCTAGAAGATCGTGGGCTGCTATATAGTTCATCGACCATGTTCAAATTTAGCCCGGTCACGTGATGTGGAGCTGCATGTGCCCCTTGGGTCTGACACGAAAGAGCGGGAAACCCAAGTCGGCCGTGTAGGCACTCAGCTGGCCATAGCCTTCCTGGGTTAGTCTGCCCGAACTCGACATAATAACTTCCAACAAGCCCTAGCTTCGACACAATGCAGATAAGGATCCATCATGCGGAACCCAGCATCAATCAAAGGCAGAGCTTCGGAGCGGGGGATCCATATGCCGTACTTGTACAGCCCTCTCCAAAAAAAGTTCATAGCATCTAAAGTCCAGGAGAGCAGTTTGAACATGTTCAGGAAGCTCGCATCCTGAGTATCGAGGTTCTGCTTGGGGCAGGTTCGAGAAGTATATAGTACGTGGCCTGTATAGTGGGCTAGTAGCATACAAGTTTAAGGTTTAATTTAACTAGGCTTACGTAGCGCCAGTTTAGGGTATAGTCCCAGGGGCAATAAGTGTTTCATCGTACTCCTGAACTTCATGGTGGAGCCATGCTCCGAGAACGGCGCAATCATGGCCTTTGCCGCAGCCCGCCGGAAATTGACGTTTCAGCCTACAGGGAGCCGGGGCCATCTAGATCGTTCCGGGGTACAGGGTTTTGGGCTTAGGGGCACGTATAAACATAAATAAAAAATGAATGATCTACAAATATATATTGTATATTTTCGTTGCAAACAAGTAACTTGGTGACCTTGAAGGTCTTCTTGCAAAACTTGGTCAAACTTGTTGTTTTATGTTGCTCTTTGCACCAACTTTTGTACTGACAGAATGCACGGTCGAGGTTTCCTTGCAGTCGCTTGGGCTTGTATTCTCCGAAGCAGGACATGTAAGCCATCAGCATTATGGCCGAAGCAGCAAAGTCTTTGCCCCACCCCATGCTGTAGGTGTGGGCAGGGTCTGGCTGCACAAACTTCTCATCGTTGCATGAGGGAAGGTCTCTAAGCGGCGAATATTTATCCACCTTGAACGGGCAACTGATTTCTGCATCATGATGCAATGATCGGGTGGAACTCGTAGGGCCAAAGTCGTACCAGTCCTGTAGCAGACCCCATAAAATTACCTATCAGTTCACCCACAAATGGATATATGTAATTAATATATATATATATACTATATATATATATATATGTAAAAATGTATTCATATATAAGATAAAACCCCACACCCCCAAACCTATGCACCTACATACTTATATAATTCCGCAAATATATAACCCTATAATCTATATACCTTCGTAAAACCCGCAATCACGGTCGTCTACGACCCGGACTCCACCTCTGCCTCACACAAGTGGCACTTGCGTCGGCAGTTGAAGCCGGCATTCAGATGCATCGATGCTCTCAAATATGGCCAGTCTCCCTTCAGCATCACTGGTACCAGCCGCAGAATGGTACTTTTGCCAGCAATATTGACCTTGTTCATTAGCTGTCCCCCACCTACCAACCCCATAATTACAGTGTCTGATCGATTAAAACTAATGGTACTTAAGTGGAGGCAGGCAGCTTGAATACCATCATAGTACAAAGACTGCATATCCCGAACCAGTGCCTCATGCAGCTTGTCGATGGTGTTCGAGGCATACAACTCTGATGGGACGACGGTGTACAGAAGCCGGGACGTGAAGCTGTGCCTGGGCTCAGGAACTAGCTTGGATTTGGTTGGTTCGAGTAAATTTCATTAATTGTATAGACGATAATTGAAATCAAGTTAAGACCGGGGACCCACTCAGGTTTGTGTAGTCTGGGCCTTTGTAGCTAATCAGAGGCTGGTATGAAATGATCATCAGCGGACGACGAAGCTTGCCCCGGCCCTCGTCCCCGTGAAGCGCTACCGGCAAGCATAACGATCGATCGAAGCTTTGCTTGTAAAGGTCCAGGTCGGGCCTGAAGAACCGGAATCTAGACCAGAATTCTGCAAACATCGGCCGGTACTTGTCTTCTTCATGAAGTGAAAACCCACCCAACAGCATCTTCCCCTGAGCAGCTGCATCATCAGAGAAAACCTGCTGACACCAGGAAGAAAGAAACAGCACCGGGAAGTTGACCTTGGCCTTTCCACGTTGGCCCGGAATCCGCACAGGCGTTGAAACTTGGGAAACCCGAACTGGTAGTGTACGGCCCTGGCGGTGCATCAGGCGGTGTAGGGCACGACATTCATTTTTCATGCTCCGGCCACATTTGGCCAGCTGTCTCAACTCTGCATCATCTATGCCTGGTCATGTCGCTATGGGTGCAAACCCTAGTATTATCAGTGTATAATTGATTAATTATACACTGATAATACTAGGGTTTGCGGCGGGGTTAGGTGTGATACTTACAAAGTGTAAAATACTGTACTATAATAAGCTACACTTGTAGACGGTATAGATGTTCGAAAATAGGAGTACACGAGATCTCCCAAAAAATGTTAATGTGGAAGCATGCGGCCATACCTCCGAAGCTTCGTGTCGGCGACACAGGCCAATCGTACAACACGTCTAGCAGAATCGGCCTGGACCATTTACGATTCCGCCAGATCAAGGCAACCCAGACCCCAATATGTTTTCAGGGTACCACTAGGCTTAGGTGGGTAGGGCATTTAAGGCTTTGGAACCACTTCACCCTTTACGTCTGAGCCCATAAAGAACCCAATTAAAGCCAAGGCTCCCCGTTGGCAAAACCAGTAAACAGCTCCTTCGCCAAGTCATCGTCGAAGTCGGAGATGTCGTCATCCTCCACACCTGGAGGAGCAGGCCACTTTTGGGAAAGAGGGTCAGGGGTTTCGCCACTGAAGCTGGGAAGCTGACCGTCGGCTTGTACATGTGCATTTGCTTGACCCAAACAACCTGCGTGCGTTGCAGGGGTGGGCTTCAGGGATAATTGACCTACATATGCCCTGGGATGACTGCAGCATCTATGCAGGCAATGCAGTGCAATACCCTTTTTTGCGGCTCGGCTTCCTCGGCTGCCTCTTCCCCGGGCAAGCTGACTTTGTGATCAAGATCGCATCATGTGTGCAAATCGGAATTAGAACGGAGGCCATGTCATGACCAGCTAGGCGCTTGCACAGCAACGGCACATGCCAACTTAAGGGACTTGTTGCTGCCGGGCAGCATGAATCATATCTAGATGTGTTCATATGTATATGCATATGTGTAGTGGCCGAACAACATGCATGCATGTCCGCTGCGAAGCAAGCCTAAAACACAAACTAGGAAACAGTCCTAGGCCTCGGTCTTCGCCTTTTTGCTGGGCTTCGGGGCTTTGGTTGCACCCTTCTCCTTCTTGGTTTTTTTGTCCTTTTTGTCCTTCTTCTCCTTCTTGGGCTTGGTACCTCCAGCAGGCTTCTTCCCCAGCTTGACCGACTTCACCATCGGCCTCTGCTCCAAGCAACTTCTACATCTGCGACGTGGTATTTCGGGGTCTAGAATAAGATTACTAGCAAAATTTAGGTGACGGGAATTACATATTATAAGTAATTATGATGTGTATATATATATATATAGATTTATTAAATGACTCTTGTTCGTAGATATGTGGTGTACATATGGTACAGCCGAAAATTCGGCGTTGAACGTGTTGAACCCCATAAAGGAGAATGATTTCGTGGTGTACTCCCAGAAAACCTAAGTTGTATAAGGCTGTAAGATCGAGTTTGCAACAACGTTGCAAACGTGTGTTCAAGTTGGGGCTTGTGCAGCATGAGTCATTACTATAATCGCTACCATATGTATATACATATACATGTATATTGCTATGACTATACTACGACGATGGAGACTACCACCACAACTGCATGGCATGAGGTATAGTGTCGCTTTGGAGCTATATTTTGTGAGCTCTGGGTTTTCTGGCTTTGGACATTCTAAAGGGTGATAGGTTAGGAATATCAATGGATCCTTCTCCCGGCCTATACTACTACTACTACTTCTACTACTACTACTACTACTACTACTACCATACTACGTACTATAATATACTACCACTACCACTACCACTACCACTACCACTACCACTACCACTACCACTACCACTACCACTACCACTACTACTACTACTACTACTACTACTACTACCACTACTACTACTACTACTACTACTACTACTACTACTACTACTACTACTACTACTACTACCACTACCACTACCACTACCACTACCACTACCACTGCCACCAGAGTACTACCACTACCACTAACATTATTGGTATCACTACCACTACCACTACTACTACTGCTGCCACTACTATAGCTACAACTAGTACCACTACTCCTAGTACAACTAGGATCATTGTTGATTAGTGTTTTGCTCCTGCTGCTTCTCGTAGATATCTTCTGCTACAACAACCACTACTCCTGCTGCTGTTACCATTGCTCTTTATACTAGCTGTATTACTGCTGCTAAGACGAAAGGGTGACGACAGCCTCTTCATGCATCGGGCCCGTCGGATATTTAGCCAGGGCTCTTGGCGCGTAGCAGGAAGTTGTTCATAACAACATCCTTCTTCGTAACGTCGGCGTACATCCGAAGAACATCGTCATTGAAGGTCCTCAGCGAGCTAGCAGCTATCGGCTTAGTATTATGGCTACAGGGTCGAGGATTTTGTGCGGCTTCCTGTAGATCTTAGGGCACGGCTTGTCGGGAGCCGTGGTAACACTCTCGGCTTGCTTCGTTGTCAAAGCCTTGTAGGCATTCTTCATGTCATCCACCATGGTCTTGATCTGGTCGTGAAGCCTCAGAAGCGATTGCTTCGATCAAGTTACCAATACCGACTGGGTGATTCGAATATCGTGGATTAATTGCAGTTGGGCATCGCTGTTGCTCGGTCGTTGTGCAGCTCAGTGAGCTTCTCCTGCCAGAGATTCACTATATAGATACTATTCGAAGGGTTTGGGTTGTACAGTTGTATGGGGCTTCACTATCAAGGGCTACAGATGTCGGGGCGGTACATATATCGTACTAGGGACTGGAGATCTAGCCTGCATTTCCAGTAATATCACAGGAGTAACACGTAGGATTACGGTTTTGGGGTCGAGGTTTGGTTTGTTATAGCCGTAGTACATAACACATGCAATCACCTTGCACAATCGAAAGATTTGTAGCTGATGCCGATCGAATCAAAACCTCCTAAAATCTAAACCCTAGACCCTTACCCTGGCAAACCCTATACAATTTGTATGTACCCGGCTGCAACCCAAGGAAGGACACGGGTCCAGCATCTCTTCGGACTGGTCGATCTTGCGACCACAGACATCGATGAAGCTAGCCAGGATTGACACGGGAGAGGCGTTCTGGGCGAGGGTCGGGAACACCATCCTTAGCCGATACGATCCGTAAGTATATGTACATGTCGGATTGAGCAAGCTCGATAGATGACGGTGCATATACCATGCTCGGGACCAGGGCTTCGAGATTTTTACCAAGGATCTTGAACGAAGCAGCCGAACCTGAAACCACAGCCTCATGCCCAGCCCCCGAGGACGAAGATGGGAAGTTCACGATCTCGTTGGTGGGGCCGTTGATCGATGGAAGGCCGCCGTCCAGCAACCAGCCGGTCTCATCCTGTCGTCTTACCGTCAAGATAGCAGGTTTTAGCATGGTATGTAGTGGTACCATACGAAGCATCAATATAGTCACAGCAGCAGCATGCAGCAGCACTAGATCGATGAAGGCGACCAAGGCCTAGTGGTCGTACATATACGATAGGAGGGTCGAAGGAATACATGGTTCAGTGTATTGGTGTCGTAGCAGGAATAGCAGTGGCAATGTAAATTTTTTTGGGTATATAGTAGCAGACTACTTAGTAGCAGTATAGCAATCACAATCGTAGTTGCAGTCGCAATCCCAATCAGTAGCAGGCACGAGCAGCAGCGGCACTAGCAGTAGTAGCAGAGGCAGCGGTAGTAGTACTTGTTAGTAGGAGTAGTAGTAGTAGTAGTAGTAGTAGTAGTAGTAGTAGTAGTAGTAGTAGTAGTAGGAGTATATAGTTATAGTAGTTGTTGCTAGTATAGTAGTAGTCGTCGGTGGTGGCGGCGGTGGTGGTAGCAGTAGTAGTGGTAGTAATTAACAGCAGCAGCAGCAAGCGTGGTAGTATACTTAATTTCTAGCACGAATTTCTAGCATTAACTTTAATACTAATAATCCTAGAAGTACAAGTCTGGCTTCTATAAGTAGCAACATGTACATGTATCTTGGGCCCCTGTCGACCTACATATGTACAAACCAACCAGTCTTAAACAGAACACACACACACACAGTGTCCAAGCACAAGGATGATATGTGTGAGCACCGGATAACCCTAGGCCTCAAGCTCCATTGAGCCACTGAGGACAATCTCCTCACCTGTCTCGTCCAACATCTCGAAGTTGTCATTCAAGATGAGTCTCGCCTCTTCCTCCTTGTGAACTTCGTTCACTCTGAGATTGCCTGTTCGGCTTGCCCATTCCCAAGCAGCAGCTATCATGCTCCTCAGCATCATCGAGCTCAAGACTTGCATACATTACATAATGTGTCATCATGGCCCCAATGTCTGATCCTGTAGGTAAGCACAAGACTTCGTCCAATGGTATTGGTTCGCAAGAGCATGCTTGGTGTACCAGCCCCCACTCTTAGAGAGCCCGAACATCTTCTTGTGCACTTTCTTCACGGCCACTTCCATTGTCTTGAAGTCGCCGTTCTGCTTCAGAAGGGCATGAAGTTTCTTTCCTTAGTGCTGACAAATAATCGAGTAAAACTTGGAGACCCGGCAACACACAGCTACACATGACGAATTATTTGGATGTGCTGCTGCCCTCGTCGGTGCCATAAAGATCAAGGGCTTCTTTGGAACACTTGAGGGAGCCGTTCTTCTTTGGAGTAAAATACCGCCGCAGCCTGGGATCCATGGGTCTATGCTGTATACAGACAGATCGGCGCTGATCGGAACCAAAGTTAAACTACCCGGATTATATAGTAGTATAGGTAGTAGGTCGAGCCACCGCCAGTACGTGGGGCTTTGGGAGCGAACGGTCGAGCTGGCTATGGAGCGCTTGTCGTCACAGCTGGCATCATCACTCCCTGGGCCGGCCGAAGAAGCCTGGGATCGCATATGATGCTTATGATGCCCACGAATATCAATGCAGAACACAAGTGATCAGTCCGACCAGACAAGACACCGGGGAAGCCAAGAGTCTCTTCCTGCAGCTGGGTTCGTTCTTGCTGGATCTGTGCTTGCTGGATCCGTGCTTGCTGGAGCCGTGCTTGCTGGAGCCGTGCTTGCTGGAATGCTTGCTGGAGTGCTTGCTGGAGCTGTGGCCGTGGTGATGCCGATGACTGCGGTGCCCGGAAGAGCGACCCCTGGTAGGGGTTTTAGCAGCATCTCCCGTTCCCTTGTCGAACGACACTGACATCATAGGCTTGGTGGGGGAGGCTTTGGGGTCCGGAGGCGGCGTGCCAGGAAGCGTGAGGGTCCTGTCACTATCGGCATGATAGAGGGGGTCACGTTGAGCATCTTGGCTGCTCACACGAAAGCTTCCAAGATTCCTGACGGCTTTCCCCGCCACATCACTTGGGTTCCCAGGCAATGACAAAGCAGTTGCCGGGGCACCTCGATCCACTACATCTGTAAATCTAGTCTGCACATAATCATAATATTAACTTTTGATACTTATGCGATTGTGCCTGGGACTGCAGGCTCATCAACCAATGTGCTGGCCGGCCGTGAGAGGGACGATTGCAACGAAGCAATCCGAGCTCTGGCAGCCTGGGATCATGAAGAAGATTGGCTAGGGTATATTATACATAGTATATTCGGGGCTTTAGGGTTTAAGGTCTTCGTACATAAATGTGTGTGTGTGTGTGTATATACATATACATATACATATATATATATAGTAGGTAGATTTTTGTATATGTATGTATGTATATATACATATATGTACATGGATAGCTATATAGCTATACAATGGTGGATCTCGTACTTGAAGCTTTTAGGGTTCTGAGGTCAAGGCGGGCCGGCTTCATTTAATCTAAGGGTTTTAGGCTTCGGGGCTTTTGTTGGTTAAGTGGGATGATGCAGATAGATGACTGCAATCTTGCTTGCCAAGTCCTCAGCCGACACTCCACCCGCCATCTGTTGCACCATGGCGAGCCCTGCACTTAAACTCTCACAGGACAGCTGGCGTTCGGCCATATCCATCCGCCTAGGATCGTAGCTTTGATCGATCGAACAACATCAAGATAATTGGCTTGCTTGCAGCAAACATCACATGTTGCAGCTCTTACACAACACGGCAGTACAACACGGCAGTGCAGCTATTTTTGGCTGCAGCATCTCCAAATTGCTGCTCGTAATTACGAATTGACAGGGCTGCCTAGGCCTTCCAAGCTAGAAGTGCTCGAACAGAGGGCTGTTTTGAGGAGGGTTCGAGCAGTTTCTAAGTATGCGCCCGTATGCGGGAATATGCGCCCGCTTTGCGGGTTTATGCGCCCGAAATGCGGCCTGCCATTTTGCACCCCTGATGACTAATAAATGCTCCCGAACACTTATTTGCAAATCTGCTCGAGACACCCTCCTATAACCTAGGCTGGATCACTATCGGTTCTGGTCTGCAACTGGCACAGCTGCTGGCGAAGGGAAGCGGCTCCACATGCCTTTGCGGCTCTTCTGGATTAGCTCAGGATTTGCGGCCTGGGGAACCCCAACCCAGTACTGAATTAGGCTACACCAGGACCCGAAGCCCTGCCAGCCTAGACCCGGGACCCCCACCAGTACTAAATTAGACTACCAGCGCCCGAAGCCCTAAACCCCGGGACCCCGACCCAGTACTAAATTAGACTACCACCACCCGAAGCCCCAGACCCCGGGACCCCGACCCCTAGAGCCAGGGACCCTAAACCCCGGGACCCCGACCCAGTACTAAATTAGACTACCACCACCCGAAGCCCCAGACCCCGGGACCCCGACCCCTAGAGCCAGGGACCCCGACCCAATACTAAATTAGACTACCAGCACCCGAAGCCCTAAACCCCGGGACCCCGACCCAGTACTAAATTAGACTACCACCACCCGAAGCCCTCCACCCCGGCACCCCGACCGGTACTATTTCTATAATCCCAGTACTCTATTAGACTACGAGCACCCGAAGCCCTCGACTTCGGACCCCGACCGGTACTGAATTATATAAGATTAACAGCACCCGATGCAAGCCCTAGACCCTGGGACCCCGACCCAGTACTAAATTAGACTACCAGCACCCGAACCCCTAGTTATATATATATATATAATATACACACTACAAATTTAATGGTCTTCGATCTAGCACCCGAGCCCCTACCCATCCAGAACCCCACTTTATTCGAGCACCAGCACCCGAACCCGACCTAACCCAATTGCCCCAATTAGTCTGGCAACAGGCACCCCACCATAAGCTATATAACAAGTCTGGGTTGGATCTACCACCAGGCACCCTGACTCTGTGCACGAGAAAACATACCCCGACCTGACTTTCAATCAAATGTGCAGGAGCTTATGTATAGGTTGGTTATTATTTTGAAGTAGGACATTTAGCAGCTAAGTCAAGTCCCGGAAAATGAGCAGGATGTAGGTATGTGTGCAGACGTATGATAGAGGTTTGGGGGATTGTTCAGGATGATCTACATGTATATCCATCTAATATGATCTATCTCCATATTATATCTACATCTACCAGTATATATATATATATATATATATATATATATATATATATCAATATTCATGATACCTGCATCCATATATCTATGTCTATTCTATGTATGCCTCGATCTTCATTATGAAACATCTTATATAACATATATAGATGATAATGGTGGTGGTCACGATTATGGTGATGGCGATGCAGATGGTGGTGATGGTGATGATGATGATGATGATGATGATGATGATGACGATGATGGTGGTTATGGTAACGGTGATTTTTGTGGAGATGGCGGTGGCTGTTGTTCATAGAATATGATTGCGATGGTGCTGGAACTGCAACATTATAATTTCACTAGTAGATATATAGATCGGTCGGTAGGTGGGTAACAGATATAGGTGATAGACAGATCATTATCTACAAATGGCAGAGAGTACGTTAGATAGGTAGATGTACCGTGATGTTGCACATATGTGAACTATATTAGCTATAACCTACACCCTAGCTGTCTAGGTAGGCGTTTCATCCCGGGTTTATATCGGATCTGCAAAGTATAAACTACCCGTGGAAGGTCCACATTCCTGGAACATGACAATGTCAATCGTACTTGATCAGGGAGAGAGATCGGGCTGAGGGTTCAGGGTGTAGGGCTATATATATAGAATACTGTAGACAGGTAGATACTTAGGTATATATAGTTAAACCCCGGCACCTAAGTCCAAGCTGTAAGCCCGGCCCCATGCCAACCGGCCCACAATCCAGTTCATTAATTATTTCAGGCCCGGCAGAAACCCAATACAAAACCCACACTATTGCCAAACCTTCCTGGTGATCAGCAGCAGACATCCCAGACACCTACCGAACCCAAGGCCAGTTAGCCTTATAGTATAAAGCCCTGGAGCTTAGCCCCATGCAAACACCTAAACCCCAATAAGCAAGCTGCCGACTCCTCCATTTCTTTCACGAAACTCTCCATCACCTGTGACCAGCTGTCCGGGATCCTGGGCCGAGGGCTGGGTTTGCGCTAGGGTAGGTTTGAGGTTTTGGGGTTACATATGTATATATATATATATATAGTTAGTATAAATTTGCTTACCGGAAAGCATATATGCTGGCTTTGCACACCCAAGTTTCTGAACATGCTTCGAGTTGTACAAGTAGAGAACAACTTCATGGACCCCAGAATCCAGCCACATATCGCAGAGCTCAAGGCTTTCAAAAAGTTCCCGGTCAGTTTGCAAGCCTTTCACTTTCCTGCGGACTCGAAGATCACCTCGTTCTTCTGTAGGGCTGGCAAGCCAGGCTTCGTACACTTGTAGCAGGCTTTTTGCGAAATCCCGAGTGTATATCCTGAGTTCGAACAATATCGTTCGTGCAACCAGCAGCATCACTCGGCTTGCGGATTATTGTCAGCAACGGAACCCGGATGTCTTCAGCTCTGCCTTGTTGCCCCGGAAGCAGGCTTTCCCGGACTTGTCGATGTGTCTGCCTGGGTTGCAGGATAGTTTGTTTTTGTGCGGCTACAAGGTCACTTCAATTCGACAGACTAGTGGCTAACTGTGTGCAAAGACAAGGATTCTCGAGCTGCTTTGCGAAGCTTTCCACGGTCCAGCTGACCCGCTGGCTTCATGGGGCTGTAGACGATGGTAGGTTTTGGGCTGCTGGCACCGTGGTGGGCCATCCAGAAGCTTGTTTGCCGAACCTAGGTTTATATTGCTGAACGACTCTGCGTGCACGGGAGCGACAGATTACGTGGATGAACCCAGGCTGCATTCATTGAATCAAGCAAGGCACATACACTACCTGGTTCACAAACCATTCCCAACGACGGGATCGAAATAGAAGACTGCATCGGGGCTGCTCCACGACGAAGGTGCAGTGCATGCTTAGGTTTACAAGCAGCAGCAAAACCAGCCTCGGTTAGCATTTCACTGGCTGGGCAACGGTGGGATTTATTATAAATCCTACATATGCCTTGAAGCTGCAGGCTAGGGGCCGGCTAATCAGTTGATTGTTCCGCGACACCCAATCAGACTGCAAGTATCCATGGGGATTGATGAAGTTCCTTCCCGATGAAGCCCTGGCCACCAAACCCCATGAGGAACAGTCAGGGCCACATACGAGTATGCCGTCCGGGATCATGTTCAACACAATCCACATAGCCAACCTCAGACGGTAGCAGCTTGAAATGATTTCTTGCAGGTGCAGATGTGGTTCCTATGCAACTCAGCTTGCAATCATGCAATTAATGTCTCGGTAGCACAAAGCCACAGTTGGAACAGAAGTCCATTGGCTCGCCGAACTTTTTGTCGTAGCTGGCAGCTGCGTAGCCGTTCTCGGTCCTGAGACGACATTGAATCTTCCTGTAGATCGAGTTACATCTGTACAATCGATGTAGATATAACTTATAAGTTGCAGCAGAGAAGCCAAACCTGAGACACATTGGCAGCCCCACAAAACAAGTCGAAGAGCTGGTATCGCGGCTGAAAATCCATATTGGTCATCCACCGCAAAAGCAGTACCTAGTGAGGATCAGTGATTCCCTGTATTCATTATACAACCATGTACCCAGGAATGGAAGCTGCACTGCACTAAATTTATACCAAGGACCATAGCCACCAACACCTCGGCTCGCCAAACAAAGTAGGATGGAAACCCTGCAAAAGCCCTGTAAGGTCGAGGTGTTTAAATGGGGCTTATGGGAATTTATTATACCTCGTAGTTGGAGTGTGCCATGGGGTAGTCACATATGGACCATCTAGATCGTTGTATACGTACAGGACAAGGGTAAATCTCAATGCAGACAAAACACTTTGGGTGCCCCTATTTCAATCAAGTTCGCAATCGTAGATGGTTCCATGGCTCAGGGGACACAAACAAAAGCAAGGGATCTCGACTTGAACAAGCAGCCCTATCGGACAGCGTATAAGTTAACACATGTTTCGGTGCACGAGCGCTTCTCACAGTCTATGGCTGCACGGACAATCTGAGGAGGCTTCCCACCTCGTATCGTCGCACGAAGTCTCCAGCCTTCTGCTTCTGGAGCAAAGCGGCTTCGTCCAGGCGGCATCCTGGCAATGTATGGAAATCGTAGATACATCCGAGGTTCAGGGTATGTGGCGAGGTCTTGTGTGTACTGCAAACAATGCAACATGTAGCGATCGAACAGCATGCGATTTCTCTTGGGCATCCAGGCGAGGGACTGCACATCAGAAAAGTTGCGATGTTATCACCGCACACAATCGGGAACAGGATCGAAGCTTGATCTCAAACTAGTGCCCCCCCACGGCATGCTTTGCATGCCAAAACCCGACAAAGGCAGGACCCTAGCTGGCTCATTAATGCATATGACTAGACTTGAAGCTACAGCAGTCAGTTTTGCCAAAAGCTAGTGGCTTTAATCTGCCTTTGCACAATCACCCTAGGATCAAAAGCAAGCTGGCTCGCTTTGGCAATCGTCGGTCATCCAAGATTCAGTCGGTGTTCTTGTATGCCTCAGATAGGAAGGGTAGGAAGATTCAGGGTTTATTAATATATTTAGGGTTTTGGGTTCAGGGTTTGGGGGGTCTCTTTAGATTTGGGCTTGCGATCCAGATATTCCTTCGATCATGCCATCAAATGCTAACATTTCATCTTAGATGCGGCTTTGGCAGCTGCAATGGCCTCCTCGACTGTTGCTCCGCTCCTCATCGCTTCGGTCTTGGCCCGGTGGTATGCCACACTTTTGCGTGACTTGCGCTTCTTGTCCTCCTCTGACAATCGTTGCTTTTTGGGGCCTTCCTTTGGCACCTCCTGCTCCTCATCCTTGCTTGCACCTTTGCCTTTGGCGGTTTTCGTGGCGGCTTTCGGTGATGCTTTGGCTTTTGCCTTGGACTTCGCTTTTGCTCGTGCTTTGGCCGTCGGTGCTGCCTCCTCTGCTTTGCTTTCCTTCTTTGGCTCATCCTGCTCTGCAGCTCGCTTGGTGGAAGCACTTCTTGGCGAGTGCACAGGCTGCGTGCTTGCGCGTCCACGGCCCCTTCCCTTCCCTCCTCTCCCACGGCCACGGCCCCGCCCCCGGCCCTTTGTTTTCCCTCCACTGCTGCATGCCTCCGAATCATGATCATCTTCATCACCATCGTCATCGGATTGAGCCTTCTTGCCCTTGACACGTTTCTTCGGAACTGCACCTGACTTTGTGGTCTGCTCGGCTGGGCTGATGGCAGGCAAGGGAATCACCGGGCACGGTGCAACCTTAGTTTAGGCAGAGCAGCATAAATATATTGACGAGCTATAGCTACAGTAGAGCATGCATAATTAAGTCTAGCAGCTTTGGACTCCTTAGGATCCTCTGCTGACACTGCTGGGGCTTCATCTGCGGGGGCAGACTTGTTGATGGAAGTCGAGGTAGAAGCTAGGGGAACGATACCATCCACGAGCATCGGCTGAGTCTCCATATCATCCATGCCTGCAAATTATCACACTGCAAGCCACAAAGCTAGATAAAGTCTTGTTGCATGCAACCACATACAGTCATGATCCCTCAGTGCAGCACAGGCACTCACCGACACCGGCATCGTGGCTTTGACTTTGGGGGCTGCAACTTCGGAGCTTTCCGGGGCTTTGACTTCGGTGCTTCTGTGGGCTGCAACTTCTGTGCTTTCCGGGGCTTTGACTTTGGTGCTTCTGCAGGCTGCAACTTCTGTGCTTTCCGGGGCTGTGACTTCGGAGCTTCTAGGGGGTGCAACTTCGGTGGTGCTTTCCGGGGCTGCGACTTCGGTGCTTCTGGGGGGTGCAACTTCGGTGGTGCTTTCCGGGGCTGCGACTTTGGTGCTTCTGGGGGGTGCAACTTTGGCGCTTTCCGGGGCTGCGACTTCGGTGCTGTTGGGGGCTGCAACTTCGTGATCATAAGTGCTTTTCGGGACTGCGACTTCTGTGCTTCTGGGGATGCAAACTTCGGTGCCGCCTGCTGCAGCGAGGAGTCCTGCTGAAACAGCTGCATCTTTTAGTTTCAGGGCCCTTTGTTGCTGAAGTAAGCTCTCAAGCTGACTTTCTTCCATTTCAAGATCCTGCAGAACCTTCATCTGCTCGAGCTCATAGGCCTCAGCTTGAAGCTGTTCAAGCTCGCGGGCCATCTCGAGCGCCAACTTCTCATCATGTTCGATTTGGACCTGCCTATGAATATCCTTCGTCGTGTTGTCCATAAGCATCCTTTCAGGGGTAACCTTGCCAGGGAGGCATGCCTCGTCCCGAATCATACGGATGTCCCCTGCCAGTCCACATATGAGGCAGGCATACCCCGATCTGCGGTCTTTGACCGTGTAGTGCAGGCCCTTTGCCCGGCTGTCTGACAAGGGGGACAGCGGTTCACCTAGCAGGGCACCCACTAAGTTGCAAGCACCGTTCACACAAGGAACTCATCTCGAAGCACGAAAGCTGGTATGTTTGTGCAATATCTCTCACTTAATTTACATACAAGTTTGCATTCTGTATGCATACGTTTAAAATGCAGACATGTAGATCTGCATACTATATACATGCATACATATACACATACACACACAATATATGTACACATAATATACACATGCATACACTTATAAACATACACACATATGTACAGCAATACATGCATACATGCATACATACATAAATATACATATACATATACATATACATATACATATACATATATTCAGTACACACATGCATCGTTAACTCATCTGATTCCATTCCATCCATACATACATGTTCACCTACAGTTTATGTAGAATATCACACAGATATTTATGTATGCACAGATCGGGGCATCAAGCTTCTAGCCTACAACTATATATATACACATATCACATACGATGCGATGCACATATATCATACATGTAGTGCCATATGACATATAGCACACCTAAAAAAAACATGTGGTTCGATGCATGCATCGGATTGTGCAAAGCCAAGATGCCCTTCGGCGGCGGCGTCACGATCGGCCCCGAGGAGGCTGAGGAGGCTGCGGAGCCCCGTGGCGTCGAAGCATCTGGGCAACAGAGGGCTATATATGCAGTAGACCGTACATTGTGGGATTTGTAATGCAGCTTGGGAACGACTGGGCAATGCTGTACTCTTGTGCGACGATGTAGGGGTCGATGGCTTGGTAGAGCAGGGGCTTTCCCGAACTGTCGGGGTTAGCGGGCCCACTTCCCTAGCCACTGCATCGGATGGCAAGCAGGGCTCCACCTTGGCCCGCTTGGCCGTAGGCTCATCCGGAACCTAGGCTAATTCCCAACATAAGACCGATCGAACCGATGCACATGCAACTGACATCAACTAACTGTTAAAACCTATTGCGGCATGGCTCGGGGACCTCTGGGTCTGCATCGGATTCCGACTCACTGTCGGAGCTTTCGTCACCAGATTCAGAATCCGAATATGAAGCCGAACTTTCCGAATCATCGTTGGCATTACCTGATAGGATATTGGTTGTTTTGTATACAACATGATGGTAGCTGGCTTCGATCAGTAGTACACATGTCCTATACTCATGCTGCATGTACATATACAGCCAAAGCACTTGTAACATCCATGCCGCATGCCTGCATCATCCGGCGGAACTCCCTATCCCGGGGAATATGTGGACGTTTGACCGCCCTGGAATAAATTGATATCAGTCTCCTCAGCATCCATGCCTGGGTCTTGACATCGTCACCTGGGCATTGGGAGTAGCTTTTACACGGGTCACGGGTGCATGTGCACAAAACTAACACACTGAACTGAATGTATAATGTGCCAAAACCAAAGGACCGGAAGGGGTGGCCTTGCCAGCAGGAGCACATCCAGCGTAGAGTCGCTGTAGGTAAGTAGCGACCAAATCGACACTTGGTCGCAAACCTGGGATGCTGACAAATGGTTGCAATCATTGGGTAAGCTATGTGATGTCGACTGTCATGCAAGCATTTAATATGTCAGTCTGGGAACCAACCAGGTTGATGAGAGGGATGAGCAATTCACTGTTCAAGACTACGGTATCGCGGTTCAGAATCTTCTCTGGCGCATGCACCAGCATGCCCTTTTGCATAAGTCGTTGCAGCACCCACCGACTCGCCGCCCAAGCCTTGAGAACAGGACAGTCCCCCGATATCATCGGGGCAACTTCTGTCGATTGACCACTGCCGTCCATTGTCACAAGAAAGTAGGGCACCTTCGAACCCTGGTTCTACAACCCTATCACAGCACAGATCAAGATAATGCGCATGCAGTCCAAGTCGTATCTACATAGTGCTCCCTGTACTCATGACGATCGACCGAATGCATCATTTGTGAGCCAACTGCAGGTAGCAGCAGCAATTGCATGCATAATGGTGTCATGCAGTACATGCTGTACGCACATTCGAGCTCTCGATTGCAAACTGTGCCAGGCGCACCAATCAACCACGAAGAGCAAAATCACACCAAGCGTACCTCGAGATGCGAGCCCAGGTATTACATGGTGGAGATCTTCGGGCTTGGCTGGCTGCGCATCCACATGCATACATACATACACACGTGCAACAGTTGGTGGGGGGGCGCACATCTCGAAAGCATATGGAGCTCGGTTCGATGGCGATCTCCAGTGCAAAACTGGAGCCCAAAAGGCTTTGGTCTGCTAATATCAGCACACCAAGCACGTTCAGGGGAGCTTATAACCCAAAAGCGCACGATGATTTATCGATAGAACACATAAACGCACGATTCTTTCTTTTAGTGTTCGAACCTTGGCACCCTGTGGCCAGAAAAGCGCACAATTGATCAAACAAGCCTCGCACAGAAATTTCTGCTACAATGGGCGGTCCAGGTCATTGTCGCTGCGCGGCCCGCTGTTCATGATTGCACTGTGCATGGCTACTGTTGCCGCACTGCCATTGCCGCCCTCCGCACTTTGCCTTCTGACCCGGAAGATTTCGCATTGATTCTGATTGACTGTCGAGCTATTTTGCAGGGATGGACGGTATGGAAAGCCCTTGCGGGTCGGGTTGATCTGCCAGCACTCGAGCAAGAGATCGGTGAGTTTGCCCCCCTCTTCTGGCACCTTCGGGTTGCAGGGGTTCGGCCTGCCTCCGGCTCCCTTGCAGTCCAGCCCGGCGCTGTTCTTGTCGTGGAGTACTGCCGTGATGTGGATGCTCCGGAGCATGGTCTTGCCCGGACGGAGGACGCGAACCGGCCCAGCTCCTCTAGTTCCTCCAGTCCCTCTGGCGACTCTGTTTCTGCCGATGTCTCTGCGCCCGATGCTAGCTCCAGCGTTGCGCTCGGCCCTGTGTCCTCTGCCTCTGCTTGTTCATTGGCGGGTGCTGACGCTGTGCGCCGGGTTGCCGCCCTGACCTTTCAGCATTTTGCCTTTGGAGCCGGTTCCTCCAGAAGCCCTCATTCTTGGGAATGGCGCTGGTTCAGTCGAGTTGCCATGTGGTTGATTGTGGTAGAGGCTCTTGCCTGCAGCCTCGCAGTATCCACCTCTGTCCTCCTGCCAGTTGTCGCGTTTGCTGCCCTTGCCGCCTCCTCATGGTTACCTCCTGGCGCTTTGGCAATTCCCGCACGCCCACACCCGCGGGCCTGTGCTTGTGCGTTGGGCATCAGGCTATTCGACCGGCGTGCCTTTGGTGCTTTGACCTGCTTACTGGTTTATACCGCTGTCCTTGCGGTCATCCCCGGCGCCGATGCGGTCCAGCTCTCCTACCCCAAGGAGCTTGAGGAAGATCCCCCCTCCGTTTGGCTTGGATCCCGCCCGCAGGCAGGCATCCGGAGCATCGGAGCTGATGTTATCCGCGCCCTTCCTCGGCCATTGAGGAGACCTGACCCATGTCTTCCCCGTGTCGAAGGTCGTCAGCTCTGTCCGGATATCTTGGAAGATGTTGAGTCCGAGTTCCTGGATACCTTGGGCCCCACGCTCTTGGAGCAATCCGTTTCCCACAGCCAAGGCTACCCGTTTTACCTTGCCTGCACTCTTTTGGAGGTTCTGTTTGAATCTGCCCCTTCTCCCCTTGCCGATGGCAACGAGCGTGGACCCTCCTCCAGCCCTCTGTGTCTGGATCTCGTCACCTTGGTACCGGCCACTCCTTTTCAGCAGCAGGTCCAAAGCCTCCTAGATCTCCTGCCATGCCCGTTTGCCGGCGCACTGCCGGCGCCGCATGAGGAACCTGACTGGTTGGACTCAGATCTTCGGTGCATACTGTCCGACCCCTGTGTTCCCCGTGCTTGGCGGGAGCGCTTTGCCGGTGTTCGGAAATGGGTCCCCACAGCTCCTGAGGATATTGACCACCCTCTCTCCCGGCTGGAGATCTACACTGATGGCTCTGCAGGGAAAACGGATGCTCAGCAGCTTTGCGGCCCCTGTGCCTGGGCATTCTCTGTTTGGGCGATTACTTCTGAGAATAGTGCCCTACTTGGTTGGGCGGCACATACTGCAGTTCCGCCTGAGACGCCATATTGGGTCGGAGAGATCTATGATGATGCGGTCGAAAGCGAAACTCTTGCGATCCTCTGGGCCCTTGTGTGGGTCCTTGAACATGGCTTCCGGTACATGGTGCCCATGTTACTGCAGTTTGATGCCAGTGCTGTTGGTGAGGGTATCTTTGGCCTTCAGCGGCCTCCACAACGTCAGGGCGCCAAAGGGCCCTCGAGACTTGTTGACCTTGCGGTTGCTCTGCGGCAACGTGCCACTGTTTGGTATGGACTGCAGCACCGCCACATACATGGGCATTCAGGTCTGTTGGGTAATGAGTTGTGCGACCAGCTCGCTAAGTGGGCTAGGAGGACCCATGAGGATCCTTATGACCGCCTTCTCCCGACATGGCCTGCCCACCTCTTGGGCCACACTTTACAGGCTTGGGCTTGGATGGGCCACCTATCAAGCTCCCAACTCCCGGTACTGTCCGCGCTTGAGGCGGAGGCAGTCCGTCTGCAATTGCAACCTACAGTTCCACCTATTGCACCATCGATGGGTGTTGCGACTGTCAAGGAACCAGCGGTGTCCCTGGCCTTTTCCTTTACCGTGGTCTCCTATAATGTGCTGACACTGTTTGATCCCGGCACGACTCATGGCCGTAAGGCTAGGGCTGGTACCCAGGGCATGCAGATTACAGGCAAGAGACTTCTTCTGAAAAGGCAGATGCAGGAATGCGGTATATGGGCGCTTGGGCTGCAGGAGACTCGGCTTCCTGAGGACGCAGTGTTGCCCGATGCAGATCTGCTGATGCTTAACGCTGCTGCCGACGAGCACGGACAATACGGCTGTTCCCTTTGGCTTAACTTGCACCAGCACATTGCAGATGCGGATGGGCACCGACGCTTCATCCATCGGGACCAGGTCGTTGTGACCAGTTATTCACCCCGACATCTTCAGGTGCAAATCTGTACTCCTTGGTGCAACTTTACCATTCTGGTTGCCCATTGCCCACGTGTTGTCGGCACAGATGGCAAGGCTGCCATGGCCTTTTGGGCTGCGCGTGCTGCTGACCTTGGACGCCGACCTAGCGGCTCTGAAGTGATTTTGCTTGTGGACGCCAATAGTCGTGTCGGCAGTGTTCAGACTGCTGCCATCGGTGACCACGATGCCGAGGCTGAGGGAGTTGCCGGCGAACTATTCCACGAATTCCTTCTATCCATAGGATGTTGCTTACCAGCCACGTTTGCTGAGCATCATTCTGGCCCTTCTTGGACTTGGATTTCACCTGCTGGCGAGCACACCCAGTGCAGGTTGGATTTTGTTGCCGTGCCTCAAGCCTGGCGATCTTTCGCCCTGCAAAGTTGGGTTTGGGATCAATTGGAATCTCTTCAGCCACGTTTAGATCATCGGCCCGCCTGCCTCGCTGTGAGTTTTGGTAAACGGGCTGCTCCGGTCTCTTACCAGAAAGCAGGCCGTCGTGCCTGTCGTCCTGTCAGCCAGCCGACTGCAGAGCAAAGGGCGAGGTTTATGGACCGCCTCGCGCAGGAGGCTAGTATTCCTTGGACAACGGGCCCGGATCAGCATTTTGCAGCTTTAGTTCCCAGCCTGACGGCCTCCTGTGCGCAACTGCAGCCAGAAGTGGAGGTTCGTGCCACTCAGGCACATGTTAGCCCGGAGACTCTTCAGCTTGTACGGGTTCGTGCCCAACTGCGCAGCTACCTCCGCGCCGAGAATGCGGAGGCACGGCGCCGCCGTCTCTTGATAGGGTTTGCTGCTTTCGTCTCCGCCACCAGGGGACATCCCTTGACTCGCCATGCCTCTCAGGCTGCGCGTGGCTGGCTCCTGCAGATCCATCATAGTGTCGCAGCCGCTGTCGCCAACCTACAGGTACTGACAGTTGAGATTCGCCGTGCCCTCAAGCTCGACCGCACGGCCTATCTACATGCCCTGGTGCAGGATGTTAGATTGCAGGATCTTAGAGACCCAAGGCGCCTTTATGCTGCCGTTCGGCGTGCCTTTCCACAGGCTCGTACGGCGCGCCGGTCCTCTTTCATCCCACTTCCCGCTGTCTTAGATGCGGAAGGGAAGTTTGCGCAGACGCCACAAGACCGGCATGAGCGATGGAGGCGTCACTTTGCTGCACAGGAAGCCGGTCAGGTCGTGACTGCCCAGGAGTATGAGGAAAGGTTTGCCACTCCTGACATCCCGGTCCTTCCAGGACATCCCGTTTTCGACAGTTGCAGTCTGCCGACATTAGGGGACATCGAGCAGCAAATTGTTGCATTACGCCCACAGAAGGCTGCCGGGGCGGATGGTCTTACGGCCGAAGTCTACCGCCTCTCTCCTACGGCTGTAGCAACCTGCATGCTTCCGCTGTTCCTGAAATCAAGCCTGCAGGTTCGAGAGCCAGTTGAGTGGCGAGGCGGCTGTCTCGTCGCATTGGCCAAGAAAGCTGCCGCGGCGCTCTGCTGTGATAACTTCCGATCCATCCTGATGGCCAGTACGATGGGTAAGTTATATCACCGAGTGGTTCGCTCCAAGCTTCTTCCCCACCTGGATGCCTTTAAAAGCGACCTGCAAGCCGGCACGTCACAGGGTGTCGGAGTGGATACAGTCGCACTCATGGTCCGCTCCTTTTTGGGAATGAGAATGCAGCGCTGCAGCGCGGCTGCAGTCACATTCTATGACATCAAGTCGGCGTATTACCGACTGTTGCGCCACACTTTAGTCCCCACCCTTGCCGATGACCGGCCCTTGCTCCGCTTGATACATCAGCTCGGCCTTCCGGAGGCCGCCGTGACCGAGCTGCATCAACATCTGGCCAATATGGCAGTGCTTCAGGATGCTCAGGTAAGTGAACATACGATTGCGATCGTCACTGACCTATTTCGTGGGACGTGGTTTAGACTAGACAAATCCGCGATCCTGACGATGACTTCCCGGGGAAGCAGACCTGGTGACCCATTGGCTGATATACTGTTTGGTTTCAGCATGGCCGCATACCTGGGCACAGTCGATCGTGCTCTCGTTGAGAGAAACCTTCATCATGTTGTCCCGGAGTGCACTCCTGTGGCCTCATGGTTTGATCCCCCGGACACGATGCGGGCCAATCATGTATCCTGGGCGGACGATTACGCCAATCTACAGTGCGCTGAGTCGGAGGCAGAACTGCATGAAGTCATCCCAGCTGCAGCTACACTGCACCTGGAGTTGGCCACCGCGGTAGGGGTAGAGCTCACCTTTGCGGTTGATAAGTCTGCCGTCCTACTCCCCAGTCTCTGTCGGCACCCTGTTGGTGTAGTGTCCCAGCTCAACCCCAAGGGTCTTCCGGGGTATGAGCTACGGGATTCACTTTCTGGCCGAGCCCACTTTCTTCCTGCAGTTGATGTGTACCGCCATCTTGGAGGCATCGTCACTTCCAATTGTTCTGCGGCGACAGAGGTTGCATACCGACATTCGCAAGCTCTTTCCACCTTGCGGCCACTGCGGAAGAAGCTCTTCGGGTCTGCTAGTGTCCCTCTCACTATCCGAGTGCATCTGCTGCGTTCATTGGTCCTTTCCAGGTTCGTCTTTGCCAATGCTGTCACTGACCTGACCTGCGCGGTGCACCGCCGCACATGGTGTCGTCACTATGTCGCGTTGTGGCGGTCTCTTTACCGGCGGAAGGATGCAGAGGAACACGTGCATAGCTACCGAGTGCTTTTACACGCCGGTGCTACTTCACCGCTACTTGCCTTGGCGGTTGCTCGAGCTGTGTTTCTCCGGCGACTGCTCGCCACTGGGCCTGTGCAGCTGCTTCAGATGCTGCATTCCCACTGGTGCCTGCGCCCGGCCAATGCCTGGCTGACCATGCTTGAAGGGGATATTCGTGCGGTCGCTGCCTATAGTGAGGCTGCCAGATTGATCCTTGCTATGCCATGCCCGGTTCTCGCCTTGCTTGAGAAAGCCCGTTCGGATGAGCAATGGTGGCCAGCCCAGGTTAAACACGCTGTGAAGGGCTTTGGCGAAGATCTACAGCGTTGGAGTTTGACACCGGACAAGCCTGTCGCACCGCCTACCGCTGTGGATTTGCCGTTCAAGTGTCGATGGTGCCCTGCCTCTTTTCGGCTACACAAGCATGTTGCTGTGCATGAGGCGCGAGCGCATCAGTCCTTTGCTCCTTCGCGTCATTTTGCCCACACCCCTTACTGCTTAGCGTGCCACAAGTGGCTCCACTCCGTGGTGCGGGTGCAGTACCATCTTAAGCAACACTCCCGTTGTCTTGAGCGCTGTGCTGCTGTTATCGCGCCAATGGACCATGAGCAGATCAGGGAGGCTGAGGCCGACGATCGAGCTCGCGACCGGGCGCGAAAATGTGGCCACTGGCACAAGCACATCTCTGTCCAGCCACCTTTGTCCTTCTTCGGACCCCGTCTTCCCTCCTACGCGGAGGCCACGGATGGCCTTGACGAATCCGAGCTCACTCTTCGTCGCATTCAAACTCTGTATCGCCCCTCGAATGAGGTGCAGGAGTGGGTGCGTGGCACATTCAGCAGGCTTTCAGTAGAGGGTCCGCGATGCGGTTCCATTGACTTTTGGCTACAGAGGCCCGGTTCGTGACCTCACGATGGGCATGTTGAATTCATTGCGTCGATTTTTGGAACGCGCCCGAATAGGGCTCTGAAGTTCACACAGAAATACCAGAAAAAAATACTATTCTGGGAGCTCCCAAATATGATCATCATAGCATAGTCTAGCCGAAACCCTAGTCTACTTATTAAGACTTCTATATGAATTAGGTTTTATGCCACTCCCCCGATTCCGTTCGAATGCAGTTCCCAAATTTCCTTGTGCGGACGCAGTGCTGCAGTGTTCGCCACTTTGTTTTTGGCTTTGATTGCTAGTACATTTATGCCTTAGATGGGTTAAATCTTCCGACAAGGCTTCTGTGTTTAGTCGCAATAGGCTGGGATGCAAAAAGTGGCAGAGGATGGGCCCGGTCGTCCAGATAAGTCAAGGCATGGATTGTAAAGTCATTAAGAGCATCGGTTTCAACTGAACGTTCCTGCTTTGATCTTTGAGGCCCCTATATGCCCTAGAGCATTCAAACAACGCCGTTTAAACGGTTTTTACCACCCTATTACACAAGCCAAGCTTCATCATCCACTGCCTGGCGAAGCAAGCCACTTAGGTTCGCTACAGGCCTATGCCAGAGTCTTCACGACCATGGCAGTGCAGGAGCCACCCTTTCAACCCCGAAGCTTTCATGGTGTTGCGTTTAGGGCTACGTAAGGGTCTAAACTCCTACCTGTTCTGTCGTACAGCACGCATATGCCTCCAGATAGGCAGGTCCCCAGAACTCTGGTACCGGAGGGAAAGGGCTTAGGGTTTAGTGCTGAGGCTTTAGGGCAGAGGGCTGAAGGTTTAGAGCTGCGGGTTTAGGGTTTGGGGTACATGTTCACCTCAACTCCCTTTGCTCGTATTTCCACGTGCTACTGGTGCTGCAGATTTGAACCCCAAGCCTTGCTGCTTTAGAGAAGTAAGGGACCCTGACATAGACCCGAAGAAGCAGGACGACCCCAAACCAGCAATGAATGTGCCCTCCCTCAAAGTTCAAGAAACCCCTAAACCTTGAACCCCAAAGAATCCGTGCCTGCCCTGTGCGAGTGTGCCAGTCGAAACCCTAAACTGACGCTGCGTCCGTTGGCAGTGGTTGAATAACCTGCTTCTCGCCCATGAGCTGCTGCCTTTCGCAGCCTCTCGATGATTCTTCCGGATGCCTTCGACTTCTTAGCCTCCCCATTCTTGGTGGGCAAGGGAAATTTAGAAAAGAGAGAGGAAACTTCCTCCAAGCTATTCAGCCGTAGATTGACAGGCTGATCCCTTTTTTCAAGTCTCACAAACTAACATTGGCGGGTGTTTGGACCCGCGCCCTGCAGGTGTCGGTTCTCTGCACCGGGGCCGTTTACTGGGTGCACTCCACAAAGAAGAAGCCTGATGAGGCGAGCCAGCTGCGCCAGATGCTTTGGGGCATCCAGTTCCAGCCTTTTCGCCAGCAGCAGCAGCTCATCATCGGGGCCGTTGGCTGCTTAGGGCTCCTACTGCTGGTTGCTGCTGCCGTGAGGCTGGGGCCCTTGGCAGCAGCCCTGGCTTTCGCGGTGGCCTCCCTGGGGCTCCGGCCGCTCTGGCCCCTTGTTTTGGGGAAGCTCCGGCGACTGCGCGCCCGGACGCTCCTCTCCTCCAACGAGAGTTCGCCCGTTCCGGATCTGGAGCCCTGCGAAGCGAAACTGCCCGTCTGGATCGTGACAGGCTTTCTGGGCAGTGGGAAGACCACCCTGGTGAACCACATCCTTCGGCAAGGCCATCGGCTCCTAGTCATCCAGAATGAGACGGGAGACACAAGCCTAGATGCCGAGCTGGTTATCGAGGCACTGCGACAATATTCGGGGAGCGGTGGGTCACGATGTTCATCCTGTCTTTGTCAGTACAACATAGTCATTACTTAGCATGCCACCAGCCACAGGCCGCCGGAGAGGAGAACGTCATGTTGATCAATGGATGTGCTTGTTGTCAAATTCGGCGTGACCTTCGAGATCTTCTCTGCCGAGTGAGGGACAAGGGCATGGGTGACGTGGAAGGCATCGTCATCGAGTCGGGGCTGCAGTCGAGTATCCGTTGGTTTTGGTTTCGTAGTCCAATCTAGAAACCAAAATTACCACTACTATTTGGGGGTTCTTAAAACAACTTTCTTGTATCATCTACCCCCAAACCATGTTCTAATTAGGTTGGCCTCTACACTTGTGTGGCCGTCTACAAAACCATCTCCCGTAAACGTGTGTGAGGGTCGAAACCTCTCAACCCCCGAACCCCCTAAACCCCTAAACCCGACCTTAACCCTGAATAGCCTACCTTTTTAGGGTTCCTTATTATGATGTCTTTATATAAGTCCTTAAAGATGTAGGTTCTTCGGGGTTGAGGTAAACCTTGCCATGTGAAGGAGTGCTGCGGCCTGGCGGATCCTCGTGCTGTGGTCCAAACCTTCCTCCTCGACGAGGACGCAGTCAAGCTGTACTGGCATTAAGGGTACCTTATTTAGGGTCCTTTAAGGGTTCCTTAAAGGGATCTACAAGGGTTCTATATAGGGTTTAGGGTTGAGAGTTGCCGAAAATTAGGGTACCTTATTTTTGGGTCCATATAATTAATAAGGATCCTACTATTTAGGGTACTATATTGGGGTCCCCTATTTTCGGAAACTCCCATATGCCCGCCCATAATATGCAAGACTCCTTTAAAGCAGCATCTAACATTGCGGCCTAGATGGTCGGAACCCCGCAACATTCTCCTAGTAGCAGACTAGGTAGCCTTTAACCTTTGTTGGGTACTATGGTCCCTACATAATCTCTGTAAAGTAGGTTCCCTGAACCCGCAGGAGATGAAGAGGAGTCTACAGATCCAAGAGGTCATTGCAGTCATCGATGCTGCGCACGTCGCCCGGCATTTGCTGGCCAGCGCCTCCACCCCGGCCGCACGGCTGGTGGAGGTGCAGATCGCCTTTGCCAGCGTACTCCTACTGAACAAGATTGATCAGTGCGAAGATTTCGATGCCCTTCGTCCGGCCATAAGGGCGATCAACTCTGTGCAGATCTTTCCGTGCACCTACTGCGAGGTGAGTGTCAGAAAATTATGTGCCCTGCAAAGCGATTATAGGACGCCCAGACGGGCACCCCTAAGTGTCTGAAACCCACAGGTGGACTTCACTGCGTTGTTGAGCGCCGGAGCCGGAAAAGGCCCGTGCGCAAAGCCATGGCGTCATGATGGAGGGTGGTCACCTTTCCGGGCTCTTACTGAGGACATCCAACTGCGGAGCATCTGTGTACCTCACGACGAGGAAGGGGGTGGCAGCTGTGTCATGCCTTCCTCAACTTTAAACCCCAAACCCTGAGCCCGAAACTCTTCTGATGCCCTTAAGCCCTAAACCCTAAACCCTAAAGCCCTAAACCCGAAGCCCTGACCCCTCAACTCTTCCAAACCTCTTCGGCAGCAAGGAGAGGCTGCCTTCTCCAGAGGGACCGCTGCCAGATCGTCCGCAGATTCGCTGCATCTCCGTGCGCGTCTGGGGCAGCCTGGAGCTTGATGCCTCTGGGTTGTGCTTTTGGATAATTTTTAATTTCCCTTATTTCCGTATAAAGGGAACCTATTCATAAATAATTTTCAAAGGGTTTTAAGCACAACCCAGGCCTTCAACCGCTGGGTGCTGCGGACGCTGCAAGACATGGATGCCGATGGACTGGTTAAGGGTCTAGGGAAGTTTTGGCTTAGTATTTCTCCTGGTACTACGTACTGCTAAGACTAATGGTAACAATTATTACTATTGCAGCAGCAGCAGCTGCAAGAATATTGACAAGGTGATGCGAGCCAAAGGGGTTCTGGCCATCTCGGGCTATGATGCCAAGTTTGCGTTTCAAGCAGTCCATGTGGCTTTCGACGGTACCGTCGCCCTTGCATCAAAGTGGGGAAAGGACGAGAGACGTTTCTCAGAGGTGGTGATCATCGGCTTCGAAGTACGGGCTGATTTAATCGAGCACGGACTCAAGCGCTGTAGAGCTTAGAATCGAGCCTCTGAGCCTCAGAGCTGCCTTCAAATGTCGCATTCAATTTTCTGAGGACCGAAAACTAGGAACCCGAAGCCTTCCGCCGAGCTTGAAGCGGGAAAGCTTTAGAACCTGAGCCTCAGACTGTTGACTCGGCTTTCGGGAGAGGAGATGTTTAGGCATGGCCCTGCTTACAGAGCCAAGAGTGCTCTCTTGTAGCATGGGCCGCGCCTGCAGCGCGAGCTGTGCGTGTTTCAGCACCGGGCCGGTCCTTCGGAGTACGCGGTACATCCTAAAGCCCGAGAGCCCTGCACATTTAGATGTTTAGGGTTTAGGGTTTAGGGTTGGACATTTAGATGGGGTGCGTGTGTCGGGCGGCAGATGTCTGAGCTTGTCAGAACAGAACAGATTTGCACGTGTCCGTGCAGGCTTTATATGTATAGGCTTGAGGGTTTAGATTGGAGATTCCATTTGCGTCCTAAACTCGAAACCCTAAGACCCTAGACAAACAGCTGTCAACAAGCTTGTCACTGTCTTCGTCCAACCCCTCCAAAGCTGACGATGCCAAGCTGACAAGATGTTTGGGCTCTTGCTCCTGGGGTGTTAGGCTGGTTTTCACAAGGGGTGGGGGCTACAGGTTACTAATGGTTGTGTTACTGGTTCATAGTCAATATTGTGATTATAGCTGGTCTTATTATCAGTTACTACTGCTCTTCTAATGATCAGTAATCTTGTTATTGTTATTGTTATTCCTATTGTTCTTCGTCTTATTCCTTCTACTGTAATGATTAAGATGGTGCTGATGATGAGTACTGTAAGTAGTATAGTTATCATGGCATATTATTAGTTGTTATGGAGGTGAGGTTTTTGGCTTACAGGTTCGGCATGCTACAGGCGTATACAGGTGTCATGGGTTTGGCATGACAGAAGCAGCCACCAGAGGCCTGGATGCAAAAAGGGTTGAGGGCGGAGCCCGAACGCTGAAACACGCCCAGACTGCATCTGCTGTGGGCTTCAAAAGCGAGCTGAGTGCCTGTTGGCCTGAAGCTACCCCATGGGCTGTCTAGCGCACCACCGCCCAACACAGCCCGAACAGTCCGAAGCAGTCGTCCCGGACACAGCTCAGCCTTCAACATTCGACTGAACATGAGCTTGCAACAGACCAGAGGCTACTTAGCAGTCCTCGTTTAGATCGCCGGAGAGGCTTCGACATGAGACTCTAGATGTCACGATCCCGGTGGACTTACCGCCGAGGCACGCAAAGCCTTTGAACATAGGCCACGCTACAGGAGAGTCATTCTTCAACAATACTCTGCCACAATCGGCTGCCCCCATAATCACAACTTGAGATCCCCCACGCGACACTACGACGATTCTAATTCATGACCGCACCGCCACCCGCAAAACCTTCACCATCTTTATCATGCTCATAGCCATGACCATGATCGTAACCATGCTGCAGCGGTTCCCAGGTCGTAGCCCTTGGCTGCAGATGAGGAGGGCTAATGTTTCAGGGTAGTCATACTAGTAACAGTAAGACCTTGGGAGAAATTGTAGCGATACCTGTACTAGTAAGTTTGGTAATAGATATAATAGTATATTAATAGTAAGAATAGAAGTAATAGTAATAATAGCAATACCAGTATCAACAGATAAAAGACTACAAAAGAATAGTCGTAGCAACAGGAGTCATGATTCCCTAAACCCTAAACCCTAAACCCTCAACCCTAAACCCTAAACCCTAAACCCCAAAATCCCTCTGCCAGGACTGTGGAGGGGCGGCCTCGGTAGATGACTTGCCACTGAGCGCTGGTTGGTTTGAGCTGTTGGGGTTTTCGGGGTTTTAGGGTTTAGGGTCAAAAAGGGTTTAGGGTTTAGGGTTTAGGTAAAGCATGGAGTGGCGGGGTTTGGACATGAGGTGCTGGAATTGAAGCTTGAAGTGAGGTATAGTGAGGTCGTAAGTTCGGTCTTTGAGAGTGCTCTGTTTTTTTGTATGTGCGGGGGAAATGGTGTTTTCCTTCAAAGCTTCAATGGGGATCGCTTGTGCCGTCAGACCACTCGGATCACCGCACGCACAGGACGGACGCGCTCATCCACATCTACCCAAAGCATCCAAAGCTGAGGTCTTGTCGTCGAAGATATGGGGCTAGAGCCCCAAGAAGGAGAAAGGGATCAGGAAGAGGCAGCATCAGAAACAAAAGGCAATGTTCGCAATCCGCAATCGTGCTATCAGCGATGACAAGACCTGGACATGCGGCGGGCAACGTTAACAAGTCTCGATCTGCAACGATGCAACCTTCATGCACGGAAGCCTAATCCAGCATTGCAGCCTAAATCTAAAGCCACAGCGCCGGCAAACCTCAAATCCTAAGCCCTAAGCATCTGCGAACGCATCTGGCTTGGCTGAGTTTTGAGAGCATCGACCATAAACCGTAAAGTACCCAAAGAAGCCCTTGGTTCTGCCAGCATGGCATTCCTACCGGCCCTGGGTGCGGAGGAAAAGAACCGACCCCCCAAAAAGCTCCAAAGGCTAAACCGACTTCACCTCACCGAAGCCCTGTAGAGTAGAGCCTTTGTAGCCGAACAGCCGTATAGCAATATCTCCTCAGGTGGGGAAGCTTCCAACAGGTCTCCACCTGCCTCCACCGCGCCTTTGGGTTCGGAGCAGAGGTGTCTCGGTTTTGAGGATTTATTGGGGTCTTCACGGTTTAGGGTTTAGGGTTGGAGCACATATGAGCACATCGTCCGTGTTCTTAAGATTGTCTTGTCGCAAACTACAGCTGTAACAGGCAACCTGTCCTGGCATAGGTCGCCACCCCGTGGAAGTCTGGGCATCCTCTTCATGCCACCTCTGAGACCCCAAGGGCCCTGAACTCACCCAGCCTGCACCCTTGAACACCCTAAACCTTCCGAAACCCCCAAATCCCTCGCCCCAAAACCCCTTAACCCCTTCTAAAGTCTAAATGCCAGGCCCCCAAACTCTAAACCCCCCCGCAAGCCCGAGCCCGACTCCCCCATCTGCAAAGAGGCCGAAGCTGCAAGCAAGTTCAAGATGCTGTGCCTGGGATGCGCTGAGAGAGTTTAGGGCGTTGATGGGGAGCGTTGGAGCTTTTGAGATCGTGAAGGTGCTTGGGGTAGTGTAGATCAAGAAGAGACGCAGAGGACCCGAACGAACAAAAAGACTAAGATGGCGATGTTTGCGAGTGTGCTTGTGTTCCTACTGCGGATTTCACCAGGGGATAGAACCTATGACATAAACTCTAATCATCTATATTTATTCCATTCTATATTATCATCATTATCAACATTTGAAGAAATGTGGATTAATAAAGGGAGGGTTCGGAGTTCAGGCCTTGGACTGCATCGTTACCGATCTCACGGGCTTGACTAGGTAGGGCTTTGGGACATTTTATATTTTCCCTTATTGGGCTTAAGAGGATCTTATTTGCTAATATTTTTCAAAGGCTTTAAAAAGCCCCACCTAGTTGAGAGAGCCCGCTCATTCAAGGTGGGACATTGGCGAAAACACATGGCAGCTTGGCTCACCAGTGGTTACCCCTAAACCCCGAACCCTGAAACCCTGAAGTTCTCCAAATATGGGAGGTTCCGAAAATTCAGGGTACCTCCTTTGGGGTGTGAGGATCCTAATATTTGGGGTACTCTATTAGGGTCCCCTATTTTTCGGAAGCTCCCAAATGCAGAATGAGGGTCCTTATCCGGGCGCCCAAAAGAGTAGCTGATAAACAAAGATCCCTCAAGGGGGGGACCCTAATTTGGCGAACTACTTAGCCCTGATAGAATGGGACCTTCAGGCGCGCATCCATGGCAGTTGGAGCTAGGATAAGGGTTTAGGGATTAGGATTCAGGTCTTCAAGGTGGAAGGGTAAAAGCCTATGGGGTTTTGGAGCTTGCTGATCAAAACAACCTCCAGTAATCAAGGAAACAGCAGGGATCCTAATACCAAGTCTCTTGAAGAGACAAAGTTCTTGTCTGTGCCACGTTTCTTCAGCAACATGTGGTTTCGTTGTTCCGAAATTTGGCGTGGACTTGGGGGCAACAGTTGCTAGGCTCTGAAGGCAGAAAATGTAAGTTACCAGAACAAGAACCCCGCAATCTTTACTATGGATCCCGATTACCGTAATTAAACCCTAAACCCTAAACCCAGGTTGTAGGAGGAGTCCGACACTTCCCTTATCCCCCGTAAACCCTGCTCCCAAAGGGGTGTTTCATTGTTGAAGTGCCGAGGAGCTTTCCTTAAATGTTTGGGGTGTACCCATAGGCTCCATAGTAGTTCCTTTTTGGGATTACTTTATAGGATTCTATAAATGAACCCCAAAAAGGAACTACTTTGGATCCTCTAGGCAAGGTCAAGAGCTTCGGGCCAGGGTGCCGTTTTGGCTCAAGTTACTTGAGCCTTCTTGGTAGAGCGCATCTTGTGGCTTCTGCGTTAAGTGGGAGACCGGTGTGGGTGTGACACCCATCTGCAGTTCATCACTTTGCACAACCTCGGGTAGTGGACCACCACCATGTCTTTTCGCGGTACGCAGCAGTCACTGGATGCGGTCGCACGGGGTCCGGGTTTCTGTCCGGACGTTGGCGCAGACGCCAGAGAGTATTTGTTGCTGGAGCCGCTGTTGATCAGTGGCCCTTGCCCGTCGTTGTTGCCACGTTTCACCATCGTTTGTGGCTGTTTAGAGAACGACTTGTTGCATTTGGATCTGGCTGGGATGCGAGTTGTGGTCCGTGTCGCCGAGTCCGGCACACAGCGGGTGTCGTTCCTCGCGTCTTATTTCGCTCGGCTTCCACTCAGTGAGCTTGTCAGGGCTCCCGGTGGGTTTGACGCTGTTACTGTGTTGAAGAGTGTCTTGCACTTTGACTACCTCACTGGCCGCCGCGCAGGTGGTGACGTTAAGCGTGCCCAGTCGCTCTTGGAGTTCTATGCGCTACATGCCAACCAAAGTCGCCTCTCGAGCACACGGTTCAAGAGTGGCATCTTGATGCTGCCGTCTCAGCTTCGT